AGTCAGTTGGTTGCAACTAGGTAATGCCGTTGGATTCGCGAACGCAAAATTACAAACCGTACAACCTCCTTGCATTTGAATACTTGTCGAGCAAATGCGCTAGCCCTTATGTTCCATTAAGGTGTCCAGCAAGTACTCTGCTGGATTCGTGGAAGGCGAATTCTATGAACACACTTGTGGCACTTTGATATCCTGTCAGCTGGCTGCTGAGCCACGATGCTGCAAACTGGCGTGTCAACATAGACTTTGATGCTAGTGTAAAGTCGCCGTTCAATTAAGCAGCAATTAAATAAAATACAGGGTTCTTTGTGATTGCAACGCAGTCTTGTACACACGGCAGCAGACTACACTCAAGCCCACCTACATCCATGCCACTCATTACTCAACTGGTGCATTAGATTTTGGTCATCATGCCATGTGTGGTTGGAGGGAAGAGACTGCACTCCTACCATCGACAGCCGTGCTTCTGTTAGCAAGGCATAGTACTACCGTAGAAATTGGACTAAGCCTATTCTCGTTTAGCCGGATAACATGCACATTGTTGCTTGCAAGTAACAAACGTACCACAGTCGACTTTGTGATTACTTTTGGAATAGTGCTCCTCAAACAAGCCTGTTTTAGTAAGCCAGTTAGGTGTACCAGCATATCCTTCCTATCGCGTAAACAATGCGCTTTCAGGATGCCAAACCAGCAACCCCTCCATTATTGTGCATCAGCGTTCGAACCACGTGACATGTATGAATATTTCGATTTACCACACTCGGGAAAGGAAGCAATTTGGGACTCGTGCCTTGTCGTTCCTTAGCTTTTCCAGCCCAGTGGTCAAAGCTAGAGTAAATCGACGTAGCTATCACGGCCGTCTGCACAAACACGGACCACCGGAATTGGGACAACAGGATATTTGTACTTTGGCTGGTCCTGCGATTGCTCTCTGATTGGTTCTTCCACTAACATTACCCTCAACCTAATGCTACTTACAGACTGACTAAATACTTGGAGGAAATGATTGCAGTGCCGCCCACGGTGAGAGCCTGTTCAATAATCAGGTGCTAGGGTTTCATTGAAGCGAGCCTTAGACGTGGGCCCCTTCAGCAACGGTGCCATTTGCTTTGCTGAAGCAGACTGCCTTAAACACACTGACACGGGTAACCCAAGTCTGACGTCAGGTTGTTCAAAAAACAGGGCAGTACATGTTAATGAGAAGTCTTAGAAATTATTGTAAACAGTGCCAGTAGCTATTTCATCCCTTCGAATTTGTTCATTTTGTGATTTCAAATGGCTTGTCAAACAAATTTTATCCAAATGACAGATTGACTCGAACAAATCAATCCTTCTAACTGGAATCCTGGGTAGAACATGGGCAACCAAAAAAACACCCGGAGACAAGGTAAATGAACTGACTTCACAAGGTTCCTCACAACGTTGCCCACATCAAGAGAACACGTTTACAACTAACGCCACGTAGAGGTGATATTCGTGAAAAAGTGGATCATGGACGATGGCAACACACGCATTGTCTGCAAGCGCGTCTTCATGGGCTGAGTTGAGGTGTGGCAGCAAGTGTTTCGGAAAGGCCAGAAGGCTATGTGGGCTCATAAAAGACAGCTTCGGACTCAACTAAGGCCCGTACTCAATTACTGAGAATGGCTAAATATCAAAAGTCCGGGTTGGCAGAGAGTTACTGAGAGGTAATATGATTATAGTGTGAGCCATTGGCTTGATAAGGCGCGCCTAAGAGTGGCCCCATGCAGCATCAGTGTCATTCACTGTCCACGGTGAGAGCTAGTTCACTAATTAAAAGCGATATACATGCCCGGAAGCATGTTAGCGTCAAAATTCACGTCACCTACCAACAGACAACGTTGAGGCACTTCGAGGATAGGAATATTGGTTGTAGCCTCCGCCCTGTCCCTCTTCGTTCGGCAGCACATAACCACGAACAGTGACTTGGTAGCGCGTGTTGGGCTCCAAGTCAGTGATCCTGTACGATCGCGAGTCTGCGGTTACGTATGCCAAATGCCGCCACTCTGGTTTGTTAGCCGAGTCTCGAGCGTAGGGTCTAATGGAGATTACGAAGCCGCCAAGAGTTCCCTCCACATTCTTAGGTTCGTACCACGACGCCTCTAGTGTGTGAGCATCCACCACCACGATGTCTTCGACGAGAAGCGGTTGTAAGGCTTGAATGAAAGCAGTTAATGTGACATTAAGGTTTTGTTTCAACAACACTTTCTTACTTATGTCGAAGTTAATGCTTATTGAAAATGGTGCATGAGCAACTACCTATCTTACATTTACCTCTAGGGATATCTCGGACACTGTAGCGCGTAAAACCCATGTCTAATGTTAGGTGGTTTATCAAGATGGCAATATGTGGTCTTGAGAAATATTGGAAATGATAGGCCAAAGCACCATTAACTACTTTACTCCTACAAATCTGTCCATTTAGCCATTTTAAATTGGTTTTCAAATCAACCTTTTCCGAGTGAAATCTTTAACCCGTAATCGTAATTGTATCATGGGCCACACAAAAATCCCGGAGACTACTTATCTGTGCAGACGTCGAAGGATGTTTCACATCGTAGCATGCATCAAGAGATCA